CCCCACCACCCCCAAAAAAAATTATTGCGGATTTGGGCTGCTCTCCTCAAACCGCACAGGACCATGTAATCAGAAAAAAAATAAAAAATTGGAAGGCAGTCTGCCAACCGCCGATGGGTCCGCCTACGGGTCGGCCCAACTGGTAGGCGCGCCTACCGCCTACGGTAGGCGTCGGCGCTAGGCGGCAAAACTACCCTGCTTCTGAGACAAAAAAAAACTATTGCTCACATATTTCTATTGTCTTTGTAACCACTACCATCCCCATTACTCGTTTTCTAGTAAATTTCCACTATTGCCCCTGATTCTAGTTTGGCCATTCTACTGTTTGTTCCTTCCATATACTCTCAAAAAGCTGCCCTTGCTTTTTAGCCTACCTATCTTCGTATGTCTTTGTGGCCTCCTTAGTTCCACTCCCTCTCCATTCTACCTAAGATCTTTGTGCCTATCTCTCCTGTATCCTCCCCAATATATGTGACTACGTTGTAATCCTTAGCCAACTACTCCATGGCGTTCTTTTACCAAAGCTCACCCACCTTACCCTTCCCCTCCTATTCCTCTCCCCCCTCCCCTAATTGGGCTCGCATCATCCCACCTATTCATCCCCCTGTCATCACCCTTAACCTACTATAAAACACCTATCGATCTCCTACTCAACTTTTTTCTAACTCCCTTCCAAACTATGGTACAAAAGCGGTTGTTTTGCATAACCTTTCATCACCCTATCACTGTTCTTCATCCATTCCAACCTTGGGGGCTTGGCGCATCAGGATCGGGCCAAAGCTCATGTGCCCTGTACATGAGTCACGAGTAAGCAGCTGCGGATACAGGGCCCATCTTGCCCAAAAACTTTCCTCCTTTTGTCCCCCTGTTCTTCTGCATCTATGCAGGTCTGCAAGGAGAGCCACTCTAATGTTCTCCAAGGCCCTTCCCTGGTATGCCTGCAGCGGAGGTGAGGCTCCCTGTCTACATCGCTCATATCCCAGGGTCCATATTGCCCATAGTACTGCCACACATATAATTTCAGAAGCCATCAACTTCTCTGGTTCCTCTCTATCCACTTTTATTAATGCCCCCCAGAGGATGGCTGCGTCATCCGTTTCTGCGGCATCCATCAGGGTTTTATCTGCCACCTGCTGCGCCCACGATTCCCAAAAAGCCCAAATATTGTTATTCTGCATCACGTAACTCTTTTTCAGATTTTTCTTATTTTTATTTTTTAATGGTCCGGAAATTTCCAGACTGGTAGGACCGGAAATTTCCAGATGGGCGGGTTGGGAGAGGGGGGGGGGGTTAAGGTGGATTA